GGTTCATTGTCAGTTTCATTCAATACTCTGAAAAACAAGGAAATAAATACCCTGCTTTTCCATACACCTTCTTGTGCAAGGTTTGCATATGGTTGTGAACATTGGCAGATTTCTTGGCCCAGATCACCAATTGTTCACTCCATTGTCCACTGTGCATATGTTATTGGGGGTCCCTTGTACATTGTCTCTGTCATGAGGTGGAAGACTTGATGAACAATGGGTGTACAAAATGCAGACAGTTCTCCTGTAGTTTATAGTACAGAAGTTTGAAGTCGCACTCCCAGCAGCATAAGAGCACATAAGCATGCTCAAGATCCTCCTTCTTGATATGGTGCTGGGACATGATTTGAATGCTGCGAATGAGCTTGCAGAAGTTGGTCCAATAGTGCTCAGGAAGTATTTGGTAAAGAAGTGCAGGTGTGAGACAAAATATATACAAGTGGAATTCCCAGGTCTTGTAGTCAGTGTTGAGTTTCTCTTGATGTTCTGCAGCTTGCAATCAAAAGAGCCTTGGATGTAGGAGCCAGCCCATTCAACCACCAGTCCATGTGCAGACCACATGTCCTCATCACAAAAGATAGCCCAATCCCAAGACTCCTTGGTGTCAGTAGGAGCACATTTGATTGTACCTTGCCACAGGGATAAAAAGAGGTCTGACAGATTACCAGCAAGATGCATAAGGTCCATTGTCATACACAGTGACACTCTGAGTGATCATGTTGGCTTCAAGCCTAAGATGAGAGGTGGCTTGGTAATCCTGGTCTCAGTCTTATGCTTATCCCACTGTCATTAGCTAGGAGAACTGACAATAAGGTGCAGGTTCTCTGTGTAATCACCAGAGCCACCAAGAGGAAGGTGAAAGACATTGATGTCAGGGTGGTTACTTCTGGAAGGGCAATTGTCATGTGGTTGCAGAAGTGCAGGATAATAGTGTGTTCTGTGAGTCTTTCATTGGCCTGGTGTTGGGCAGTACATGCAGCATCCATTTTTGCCACTATGACCAACCATTCCATCCCAATAAATGAGCCCTGGCCCATCCACCATTGTGAACAGGAGATATAAATGTGCCTGAAACTCAGTATTGCATGATGAGTCCCATATGCAAAGGCCCTCAGATTGAAGTGCAGAGAGATTATGCATGCTGATGAAGAGAAAAGAATCGAGATTCTTGGGTTTGTTTGGTCTGGGTATAAACCCACCAGGAAGAATGTGCATCTTCTTGTATCACTTGTCAGGAGATAGATTGAGGATGATCCAGATATAGAGCCAACAGTCAGACTGTTTGCTCTCATACTAACTGAGTGCCATCAAGCAACACTGAGAGAATGATGTCATTGTCCTGGATTTCACCATCCAGAATGATGCTGAGATAGTCCCACCCTGCAGTGAAATCATCAGTTAATGATGTGGATGTAAATTCTTGGAACTCACCTGCAACAATGTCATTGATTATTGATATCGATCCAGTCACTCAGAGTTCTGCTAGAACCTGCTGAGTGTGCTCATACAGATAGTGCATGTCACAAGCCTGTGCAGGATTGTGATAGAGCACCTGTAGCTGTGGTCCTAAAGGAATAGTAGTGAATGTCTTGGCAGGGATCTTGTTATGCCCACCGGTGCCCTGCAAGCACTGTTGATTCCAGTGAGAAGACCACAGATGGGACATTCATCGAGGTTAACATAGGGCCCCATGAATGCAACACAGCTGTCAGGGCACATGTCATGCTGGACATGCTCAACACCTGTAAGATGTGCTATGAGAGTTTCAACCTTGTAGAATGATAGTATGTCATCAATACCATTTGCAGTAGGAAAGTTTTGAATTGTCAACCAGCAAACTTTTTTGTATGTCCCCTGCAACAAATGCTCCATAGCAAGATATATGGATATGCTGTGCTGGTGGCCAGGATTATCAATTGACATGGGAAGGTGGGGTGGATTACAAAGGCATATCAACGACTCTGTACTCAGCTTCGCAATAGGATCTTCTAAAGTTGCTTGGGAAAGAGCTGTGATAAAATGAAGTGTATCCTTTAGTACCTGAAGAACTGCTTTCTCCTGCAATTCTGAAAGGTTGATTGTGGGACATGGGTGACATTCATAGTGGATTTCAACCTGCATGGGATGCAGAGGTGAGTCAGGCAAATTTTTGTTGGGAAAATGAAGAGGCAAATTGTACATATTTTTGTTGGGAAAACGAGGAGGTGAATTGGGCATATTTTCATCAGGAAAATGAGAAGGTGAAGCAGGTCTATTGCCATCAGGCAGGTGGAGATTCTGAAATGGTAGAAGTTACATTGTACAATCAGTAAGTTGATGATAAAACATACCTTGAGTTCTGTATTGTTTTCTGGATGCACTTGGGTGTTTTTGGCATGCTTGCACCATCCTATGAAATGGTTAGGGTCCTTGTTTTCCTTGGTTCATTTGGCTAGTCCATGGCATGCCTCAGCCCTATGAACACTGGGGGACACAGAATCATCAAAAGCCTGTGGTGAGTCTGGTGCACCTGGGGCAGCTGGTATATTGGAAACGTGCTCTCCCAAGAGTCTTGCCAAATGTATATGTTGCCTTTCTTCATTTGTTGGTGCTTCATTGAGATGTTGTAGCCACATAGTATGGGTGGACACCTTGTGCAAGTGCCAAAAGCCATATTTTGTGCAGATGCAATTGTATTGGTCCATAGAGAGTATGACAGTTGGTGGAAAGTTGCAGAGCACAAGGCAAAGAAAAGCTTCACATGCATGCGAAGTAAAGCTAGTAAAGTGTTGCTTTGCATTTTTGCTATCAACTATCACATCAATGCAGACTTTGCATCACAATAAAGTTGCATTATCAGATTGAGTAACAAACTAAGAATGGGTAATAGTCCTAAATAGGAAATTCATAACACAGCATTTCTGGCTATGCCTGGACATGTTGAGTTTTCACTGGGCTTGACTTAAGTGTCGCAGAAGGTGAAAAGGCCAAGGAATGCTTGGAGACGATTAAGCAGTCCATTCCACATGATAATGAGTTTTGTTCAAGGCCAAAGTCAGATGTACATGTCTCATGTCATATCACTTTTTTTACAATGCTTACATTACTTTTGTTCAGATGATATTGACAGGAAGTTTGAGCCAATCATCAAACACCAAATGGTTGAGCATTTAGGTGAACTCGAAGATGATGACCTCATCATGTTTGTGGTTCGAACATCTCAAGGATCACAAGGGTCCTCAGAAGCTCATCAAGGGTCTTGAACCTGTATGCATCTACACTCAAATTCATTGGTTCATCTCACCATTTCAGTGCAGGTCTTGGAAGAGGAAGCACAGGAATTCACAATCAATATCTGGAGACAAGTCATCTTTGAGAGTATAGGTGTATGGTGAAGGAGTTCAAACTGAGTGCATGATGGTTGATTAAGCGCATGAGGATGGGAGGACACTGATGGTACCTGCCAGGCCAGGTGCATTGTAGCATTGGCATGATGTCTACTAAAAGATTATGTGTGGTCTCGAAGAGTTGTGGACCAAATGCATGTAGAAAGACTGATCAGACACACTCAGCATTGTAGACACAATGACTAGGGATTAACTCTACCTGATTGGACATGCTATGGGAATGAGTATGTAGATGGGTCCTCAGGGGCTATCATACTCACCTCAGCATTGTAGACACAATGACTGAGGTGCAAAGCAAAGCAAAGCAAACAAACCTACAAGTACAGATGCATGTGGCCACATGACCATTGATGCCAACATGCCCCCTCAGTGGGACATGTGCAGATGAAGAGGAGAAAACATGTGTATGACCTCTGAGACCTATGTGTATGAGTTCCAAAAATGAAGAAGAACAAAAGAAAAGAAAAAGAAGAAGAGTGACCATTGAAAAACCTGATGCAATGCCCCCTCAACAGGACACAAGTGAGAGACTGGTGGTGTGGCAAGAGAAAGAAGGACATGGTAAAGCCTTGGTGAGGACATTGGCAGTGTTGCAGGAGGATGCAAGCCACTCAAGGAGGAAAGTTCTGGCCTCAATGTGAGTGTGGCAAAAATGATAGCATACATCAATATGTTTCATGTGATGGTTGTTAGCAGCCTCCTGTGAGAGAGCAATCACCCCCACATTGTCAGCATAGAGGCAGACTGGTGTTGGGACAGGGAAGCTGACAGACAAGAGAAAGACTGGATCCACAAACCCTCCTGGATGGCCACAGTGACTGCCATATACTCAGCCTCAGTAGAGGACAATGCTTGTGTGGTCTGCTTCTTAGAAGTATGAGTGATGACACCCCCATAGCATCAGGAAATTAATCAATGTCTATTGTGCCTTTCACATGCATGGATAGTCAAAAAAGTCCAGATAGTTGCCAGGGCTATTTCTAGTAGATTCTATTTCTATTTTGACTATCCATACTATTTTTCTGACTATCCATACTATTTGTCTGACAATCTGTCTATTTTTCTGACTATTCATACCATTTCTGTCTGACTATCCAGTCTATTTTTGACTATTTGTTGACTATCCAAACTATTTTTTTTTTGACTATTTGTGACTTTCCAGACTGTTCATGAGGGCAACTTTTTTGACAATCTTGATAACAGGCTCATGTAGTTCACAAATAATGCATCACAAGATCTCATTCATTTACCACAAAGCATAGTAGGAAAAAAAAATGAAATGATCATAGTAAGCACTTGTGTCTTGATTCAAGCACAAGTGGGGATCAGACTTGAAGTGGTGGAAAGAATGATTAAACCTTTATGCTAATGGGCATCTGAGTGATTGGGGGAGGGGTGGGAGAGTATGTGATATATGTATGAAATATTTCTGTGCCACATGATGCAGGGGATTGTGATGAGGGGACATCCAGCCAAGTCCATCCTGTCAACTCATCAGCAAGATACTCATAGCATACACAAAATCTTACAGATGCTTTGACATAAATCAGTATTAACAGCAAAATAAAGCTTATCCATCAGGTCACCTGGAGAACTGCCATTGTCCAATGTCTCCCTGGAGGGGATAACAAGGGTGTGAGCCATAGCAATGATCTCACTCATCCCAGTGTTATTGTGTTTAGAAATGGATGCATGATAGTCACAAGTGCTGGTGCCCCAATTCTGCTCAGAGAATGCCAGCACACTTGATGACTCCTTCCTGGACACTTTGTTGAGCTTGAGTGGAGTTTTTTCTGTTGCCCTCATACCATGGGTACTCATTTGATTGTCAACTTGCACCTCCCCCCTTTGGAATAGCTGAATGGCATGCTCAAGCTAAAGTAACAGTTAAAACTACAGATCAATGACCAATGAAGAGTTACATACTGCAGCAGTTCAAAGGGAAAGTGCCCCTCTGACAGCATGTTTCTTCATTGCATTGGTGCTCAGCCCTGGAATGTCAGGGCATCCAATACAAGGCTGAAGATGTGCATGCACAAAGAGTTGCAGAATGAAGTGTGATCAATAAGTGTGTGCTGGGTTTGTCATGTTGAGGTCTTGATATAGGAAGGAAAGTGGTCCATCTATGAGTTCATTGCAAGTTTGCCTGACAGTGGCAGCAGACCATGCATCATCATCTGGATCTGATGCAAGAAAATGAGCAATGAGTGCAATGGTGGTAGAGCTGAAGTTGCTGCACCACAGACCAAGTTGCCAAGTTGCCTGCCCAAAAAATGAGTCAAGCATCTAGTTTAAGTGTAAACAGAATAATCTTACCAGCATGAAAGTCAGTGTCCCTGGGCATACTGCATGAGAATCAAAATCTGAGACAAGGGAGGTCATGAGCTCCAGATCTGGGATTGCCCATGGATCAGGGAAGGGCCCAGCCCACATGAGGAGAGTGGGAAGCATTTGGTTCGACCATCTTCTATCCTCTTGCAGCTCTTCAGGCAAGTTTGCATTGAAAAAATGTATGTGCCCACAAGTCATGCTGTTGGTCCCCATTGAAAGTGGCTAGTCTGATGTGGAACTTGCTAAGGCCAACTCCCTCGATTCCTGAGTCATAGCTTTAGTTCCATGCTGGCTAATGTTACTAACCTTCGCTTTCTTTGCTGGCTTGTCAATTTTGATATTAGTCTGTGACTTGACTTTAAGTGAACCAGAGGACATACCATTGTAGTAACATGTGGCTCCTTTACAACCTTCATGCAAAAATTTACATCATGGAGGTCACAGAAAGAACCCCCATCATCCACATTCTCAACTTTAGACAAGGAGACATATTCAACATTGTCACAATCAGCATGCCTGTGGTTCAAGCTGGCCTGCACTGCATGGGAAATAAGATTTTTGACCTTGAGATTGCTCTTGACATCAGTGCTTGTGTTAGTAGCACACACCATAGCCTAGAAATAGTACCAGTGTGTGTGAGAGACTCATGGGCTTTTGTGATCCAAAGAAAAATACCTCAACAGGCTTCTGGTACCATGTAAACTTGGTGGAGACAGTAAGGGGGTCCCTGAAGTAATGTTCATCCTCATCATGGGCCACTGCAGGAATGTTGTTGCTGATCATATGGTGTTTGGTGCTTTCCTGTGGCATAGTGCACTCCTGATCATCCTCTGTGATGGAAATTTCTGAGCTGACACTGGTGGCTTTAGTTGTTAAGGATGGGACAGTGGAAGGGGGCAGGTTAGGAATCCCATTGGTTTGAACTTGGGAGCCCAATGTTACAGAATTGTGGGGGGTACCATTTCCAACAGGTGCACTGCCACTGGCCCAGCTCTTGATGCAACCAGCCAAAAGAGTCATATCATTCAGGGCACTAACATTCCAGGTAAGGTTCAGCCAAAATACAGTTGATTCAGTGAGCAGAAGGAGCATTGTGCAAGGGAAGAGCACAATGTACCAGGACTTTCCTGGGTTGGGCACATGTGCTGAAGTTGCCACATCATCACCCAGCAGCTCAGTTGTATTGTGTTGTCTTGGCAGCTTATTGCTTGAGCCCAAAAAATCATTGGCAGTCACATGGTGAGCTTCTACTTCTATATTTGCAACTGTTGAATGATTATCAGCATCCAGAACCAATGAATTATGAAATTTGCAACAGCACCCTCACCACAAGGCAAGTCAGATATATTTGTAGGTCTGCCTTGCCTGCCCTTCAGTTTTGGTTTTGGCTTCACAGGCTTTGCTTTGACAGTGTCTTGCATCGCCTGCTCTACCTCCATGGTCACCTCTATCTCTGAGATCTGGGTGCAGTGCTGTTGAACTGCAGTGGCACAGGCATCACTCAAGACCTTTGCACACAAGTTGTTGGCTTTCTTCTGGCTTGAAGTGTGTCATTTAACCTGCATGTCAAGAACTATTTGTCCTGGGTGTAGATTAGCCTTTTCTCTTCATGGACAATGACTTCTAGAAGAATTGTCAGCTGACATAGTACCTGTGATGCAAGGAGGGAGACAGAGACAGAGCAAGGTGAGTTTAAACTTCGCTTCTTTATGCAAAAAAGATCTCACAAACAATGTACCTAGTTTTCTGTACAAAGTCCCACTTACCTCAAGCTAATTCACCCATGCTGTCCCAGTGTGTTTCCTTACATTGAAAATGCCTGAACTACTGATGTTTAATGTGCTACAACACCCTTGTGCCAAACTGGGGTGCAACCATTGGTTTAGAAATCTCTCAGGTCTTACTCAACACATGTGCATGCATCATCCTAGTTTAGGCCCCAAGTTTTTCTGTCAGCACAGGGTTGCCTGACCATTTGGGACAAGACTATGATGGAATGGACCATGACACAGACATGTTTCCTCCAGCAACCAAGTATGACATTCCAACTCCCAGCCATCAAGAACTTGGTGATGTCAATGGTGATGGTGATGACTCTGACTGATTGGGCTGGGGATGTGAGAGTCTAGGGCTGGAGTTCATTGGTCCTGCAGGTAGGACTTATTGCAATTTTCATCCAGGTCTAAACTGCAATTTGCATATATGCTACAATAACTACTTCAACTAATACCTCATCCATAGCATGAAGATGTGATGCCAGTGGTCAATATCTGTGGGATGATGCACCACCACCACTGTCTGTGGAGAGGTCTTCTGATGACTGGTCCCCTTTCTGAAACTGGCTGGAATTCAAGCTCACAGATTTTCTCTTTAGGCAGGCCAAAATGCCCACCAAAAAATCAACATATCTGGGCTGCATCAATACTTGCCTTACATGGGAAACTGTTATTTGCTAACCAGAAAGACCTTTATCACATCATTGACAGCACATCCATTGGCAAGGTCAAGTGGGAGAGTTTTGTGGTGGAGTATGCTGACAATGGATGAGATGGACAAGACAGCAATATGGCTCCTTGGATGCTCAACAGTTATGATGTATGGTATCGAGATCCATGTAAAGTCATCCACAATATCCTTGCTCATGCTGACTTAATAGGTTGAATCAACTACATACCATACCAGGAGTATGATTCTACAAACAATCAAAGGCACTGGGAGGATTTCATGTCAGGAGCCTGGGTGTGGAACAAGGCAGTAAGTCATGCCCACTGCAGCTTGAAACTTGATGCTAACTTCACACTCCTAGGACAGAATCATTAGTGAGGATCCAATGATGGCTGGGGAAACACTAATTCCCATCATTCTCAGTAGTGACAAGACAACAGTATCAGTAGCAACTGGCCAGACTGACTATTACCCCTTGTATCTCTCCATTGGAAATGTTTGCAACACTGTTCATCATGCTCACTGCAGTGTGGTAGTCCTCATTGGGTTCCTGGCAATGCCAAAGAGTAAGATCCCATGTTCTATGAGTTCATATCACTGCTAACATACCATTTAGCCACTAGAGAACATGCTGGTTCCTCTGCTTTCTGAAATTTCAAAAGGCAGCTTTTCCACTCCTTGCTAACATGCATTCTTTGTTCACTTCAACCTGCCATGAGTGTCCCAGATATAATATTATGTGGTGACAAATACTATCAGTGCATCATATATGCACTAGTGGCTTATATAGCTGACTACAAGGAACAAGTTCTGTTGTCTTGTATCATATGGAATTGGTGCCTGAAGTGCCTCACACACCAGGAGAATCTGGATGATGATGGACTCTGTCATTGTCATGAGCATGCAAATGCTGTGATTGAAGAATTTGACTTTTGTAAACTGTGGGACACATGGGATTGTTGGCGACATAGTGGTAAGTGTAACCCCATGTTTTCTTGTGTTTTCTAATCAAAGACAGTTGTTTACAAATGATTTTCCATGTGCAGACATCTGCAGCATGCTTTCACCAGATATCCTCCACCAGCTTATCAAAGGTGTGTTCAAGGACCACCTGGTGGATTGGGTCAAGTGCTACCTAATCCACATTCATGGAAAGACACAGGCAGAAAAAGTCTTGGACAAGATTGACTGGTGGTACATGACCTCAATTAATATTTGTATCCACTTCATGGTGTTTCAGGATTGCAGCTGTTGCCCCATATACTGAGCTGTGGTGTTTCCCTCAAGGTTGACACTTCAAACAGTGGACTAATGACAATTCCAAGGGCGTTATGAAGGTGTGCTCATCTGTATTTCCTTTGTGTGATTATTGACCAGTCCTTCACAGGTTTACATCGCAGCAATTGAAGGTTATGTTCCACAATATGTCATCTTCACTTTTTGAGCCTTCCTGGAATTTTGTTACCTCATTTGTCAGAACATTACCACTCAACAGATGCTTGTTGAAATTGATGATGCACTCAGGTGCTTCCACCTTTATTGTGAAGTCTTCTGGAATGCTGGGGTAGTTGATACCTTCTCACTGCCCTGGCAACACACTATGAAGCATTACTACCACCTTATCTGTCAGTTTGGCACACCTAATGGCCTCTGCTCTTCAATTACAGAGTCCAAACATATTAAGGCCATCAAACAGCCTTATTGGCACACTAACCACTTTCAAGCTCTTGGACAGATGCTTTTGATCAACCAGAGGCTTGAAAAGCTCATTGCCATGCATGCCAACTTTAAAGAACATGGTATGTTAAATGAACTGTTGCTATCACATGCACTCAGGGCTCTTGGTACAAGTATTGATCCTATGATTTTCTCCTGTCTGACAGCAATTCAGGTCAACATTCCAATGATGCTGATGATCTGTGAAACCAAGTTGGGGAAAGCTGTGACATGGCTGATGAAATTGAAGAAAAAACAGGGAGTTATGAGGAGGAACTGGGCAATGCCATTGATGCTCCCAGGTCAGTTGAGGCCCATGTATCATTGGCTCATACTCATCATATGTCTCAACCTTCTACTCTGTACATACTTGGATGCTAACTGGTTTAAATATCTTAGAACATAAGTGCACAAGGACCATAGGTGCCCTAGCAGCTGAGCTCTGCCTGCCACAGCTTCCCAACATTCTGCACTGCTTCCTCTACTTGCCACTGTTTCCCACTGATGATCTGGATGACATCCCCCTCAATGAGTGCCCACCCTATGATGGTAGCATGCATGCCTACAACTCTGTGTGTTCCACTTTTTTTGCACCAAGTGATCTATGTGGCCTCTATGGCATGCACTATGAGTACATTCATTCCTGCCCCATGTGGAGGAATGAAGTCCCAAAGACCCAAAGAAGATGTTAAATGAGAATCCAGAGGCTATGGACGAAGATGAGGACCTCATCCCTGCCCCCCATATTCAAGCTATCTACAACTCCCTCATCCATGAGATTCCTAATCTCGTAGCCCACATTATAGTACTCGCCCATGCTCACATCGTCACTGAGGAAATTAAATGTGAAAAGAAAAAGGAGTTGAAGGACATGGCCACCACAACTGCTGGGGAATTTGTCCCTGATAAATCAAGCATTGCCAAGATGGTCACCACTCAGGTGAAAAGGCAGTTGAATGCGAAGGTGAGAGCATTGAGTTACACTCAGACAAGAAACTCACACTGATTAGGGTCCCAAACCTGGCAAGGGCGCCAAGGGAGGCAAGAAGAAGAAAGGTGCTTCTGGCGAGTCCAAAGCCAAGAAGAAGAAATCTTCAAAGAAAGATTCCAACAAGCAGTTGAAAGCCTCAGACTCCAAAAAGGCGAAGTCAAAGAAGTCCAAGAATGCCAAGCACTCCAAGGGCAAAGGCAAAGAGAAATCTTTGTAGACAACACCTTTGACTACCTGGAACATGTAAGTACTGGTGCTATTCGTTTTGAGAATCCAAGCACTTATCCTGACTGGCTGGTAGACATACTGCTGTTTGTAGCTGTCACAATCATTGTATGAACACTATTTCCTGTAGACTTATTAGAAAGTAGTCTACTTCTCCATCATGTACATATTGGACTGGATGTTCTGACAGACCTGGCAGATCTGCTGGTCTTATATACATTATCTTTTGGGTGGAAGTTCCTCCTTCCCACTTTCCCAAACACCAGTTTATTATACAATGCTTGGATGAATTTGAAAGAATGCCTGTGATGGCAATTCTATGACTTAGAAAATTCAATGAGTGACCCCAACCCTGTAAGAGATGTCTATGAACCAGACTACGATTTAAGGATGCAGGCTGCACCCTTTAACATTGAGGATAACAAAAACCCTATGCTTGAATGGTGTCTAAGGGAGGGAGACAGTTTTGTTGCACATCAGTGCCATGTCATAACCCCTAAGACTCAGTTGCCTGCCAAGCTTCCAATATCTATCGAAAACATCAAGCAATGGCTTTTATGCCATGAATTAATGGTCCTCCCTATGGACAAGAATCTAGGGTGTTCTGTAGTCTCAGTAAAATGGTTCGAAAGACAGACACTGGACTTACTTGAGAAGGAAAACTCGGGTTATGTTGAGCTTGATATCGACACATCCCTTGGAATGATAGAACGCAATATCAAAACACTTTATTGATTGAGAGACAAAATCACAAAGTGATTTCCCAAGTACAGACAACTCGGAAAGTTTCTCACCCAACACATACCACCTTGTAAAAGAGGCAACAAGTTTATCCCTCGTAACATTTGGTTGAGAATGGTAAAACTGCCACAATTCTATGGAATTCCCAAAGTCCATAAGAATCCAGTTAAAATGCGCCCTATTGCACCATGCCATTCAGACCTAAGAAACCTGATGTCGAAATTAGTCTCAAAAATCCTAAAGCCCTTCGTAGAGGCATCACCATACATTTGCCTGGGAACTAAACAGTTGGCCCAGGAATTTAGTATGACTACTCTACCAAGAAATGAAACCCTGTGGATCATCACTGGTGATATAGTTGCTTACTACCCGAACATTGATCTGGGTAGGGCAGTAGAAGGAATTTCATCACTGACTAACCCAACCTCTGAGGCCTGGCCCCTCCCTTACCCAGATGACTTGCTTGTCCCTAAGTTGGGAACCAAACTGTGGGAGGATATCCTGTGATTCGGTACCACTGGCCTCCAAGTCAAATTCCACAACTGTAGATATTTACAGGTAGCTGGAATAGCTATGGGTGTTGCCACATCCCCTGACGTAGCTAACCTATATGTGGCAAACTCTGATTTTATCTGTGGATGTAACTGGGATGTCTTGTTTCTTAGAAGATTCATAGATGACATCTTTATGATCATCCATGCTGACTCCACAGAAGATGCACTATACTTAGATACCCATACATGGTACCTTAGAGGTTGTGAAGTAGACTGGGCCCTGGCTGCTTGGCATTGCATTTTCCTTGATATGCAAGTCTGGTTGAATGACAAAAACCAGATCCAATGGAAACCATACTGCAAGCCTAATAACCACCTTGAATGAATCCCCTGGGACTCCAGCCACCCCCTTGATGTTAAACGAGGCACTTTCATCAGGGAATTGTCCTGCCTTGCCATGTTGTCCAGTAACATAGAGTACTACTTGGATGTGGTCACCTTCCTGACCAACCTATACATTAGTAGAGTGTACCCAGCGAGGGTGGTAAAAACTTGGGTAAAGAAAAACTGTACTGAATGCTGGAATAAGTGCTTTGCTATAAAGGGAGATCCCAAACCAGTGATCGCTCTGAAAACTGAGTTTAACCCAATGTGGGATGAGTTCAATATACATGACCTTAAAGGTTGAATAATGTTCCCAATACAAAACATACGTGATTTTTGGGTAAGTGGTGACTTGGCATCATGTGACACACCACTGCAACTCCTGACTCACCTACCTATTCTGTTTGAATGGCCTCCATTGGCAGATCTCCTTTTTAAGACCCCTGATCAGGTCCTGATCTACTGATGTGCCTTCTTTCTAGATGCAGATGGCCTCGAGGAAAGAGATGCCTGGTTGTTTGATCTAGGCACAGCATTATCATTATTTGATGAAGCCAAGTGGGTCATCTCTGGAAAGCAAACACACAATCTAGGCGATCTTGCCATGGTCCAGAACAAGGAATGATTAAACCTTATCTCTAGAATTTATAATCCTATGCTGTCAGCACAGGATATGCTAGAAGAACATGATAGGGTTCGTCTCCTTCAAATTGAAAATCATACATGTGCTATGTGTGAGGTGGAGCTGATCCTGGAGGAACATGGCTTGAAATCTATGTTGGCCTTTGATGGCCCAATAATAGATCTAGGGTTCATAGTCGCCGATCAGGAAACATGTGATGTCCTGCAGGAATGGAGATATTCCTGGATAACCACAGCAGAACCCTGAGGGAATGATCCAGTTTCACCAACCATTTCAAAATCAAACCCTATTTTTGACAACCCATGGGAGTCACAGGGACAGTATCATAGGCTATGTATGCACCTTTAATCCTATTGGATGATAACCAACTGCCTTCTCATGTGTGACAGTCTAAACCTATAGAGTGGTGACATCATCTATGACACAATCATGGATAAGCGATGAGCCTGCCCTAAAGTCATTGGGCTGTTTATAAGGCTTGGATAGTCCACCAATGAGCTGCAGTGTAGCGAAATTCCTCAGTGCTCAGGTTGAGCACGAAAAATTTGGGCTTTCCACTCTGCAGTAATGTTTTTTGTTTTACCCCTTCTGGCATTGCTGATGTGTTGGTTAACCTGTCCCAAACCCATCCTGCTGAGCAGTTGGCTTCTGTGCATGACAACTACAATGCAATGATGCACTCACTGACACTGTCTAATGCAAGCCACCACACTGTCAATTTTCCACCCTATGCTGCCCCCATCATTGATCTACATCATCCTCCAACAGTCCTTCACCTGCTTCATCCAGAGTGTCAGTCCCACAATGGAGGAAACAGACAGTAAGCACACTCAAGTCAAGAGTGTGAAGCAAGGTAGCAGTTCATCTTCTGGACAACACACCCCTGTTCCATCTTGCTCATCTTGCTCCTTCTGCATGCCACCCATGTCACACTCACCTGATTCTCATCCACATAACAAGAGCCCCTCAAAGACTTCCAAGACAAGGGTTCTCTTTTGATGGATGCATGTATTTTGACTGTGGTGGGTGCAGGTAAAGACTCAGTGAGTGAGTGCTTGCCAACAGTACTCAAAAAGTGTTAGAATGACTGTGTGGCCAACCATCTGGGACACAAACTTGAGAAGCAGTTAGGCATTAGGTAGTATATATAACTTGAGTACCAAATGAACAGAGACCCCTGTATATACTGTATGGTGTATGGTGCAGAATAATACTTTCTTTACTAGCTTGACTTTTGAACTTTTGAGAAATACTATGTTGACTATTTTAACTATTTTGACTAATCTAAACTTTGTCTGTATTGAGTGTGACCAGAAATAGCCATAATAGTTGAAATAGACAAATAATTCCATAAAAAGCACAGATAGTATTTGGTTAATTTCCTGATGTAGTAGAACTAGCAATAACTGGTGACTGAGATGCAATCTTCAGGGTTCATTGCCCAGTCAGCATCACTGAAGCTGTGCAGAAGGGGACTACAGGTGCATTCCCCATAGTGGAGGTGATAGTTGAGTATTCCTGCAAGGTAGCAAAGGACACACCTTGTGGCAGCAAGCAGATGGGTACTCAGACAGGACAGATACTGTGAAAGACATTAGGGAGATATTGGGTCAGGTGCAGATGGAAAGGTACAACAGCTCGCCTATGAGCTTCAGGTAGAGGAATAGATCACTGGGTTATCACCATCTGCATCAGTGAGAAATGGATGAGTGGGGTCCATTGGGAGATG